TTTATAACTCTAGCCACACTACTGTTCATGTGAGATAATAGCCAGTTGAGCAATCTCATGTTCAGCCCACCATAGCAACACTTTAATAGCATCATACAAAAGGTTCTAATGACAATATATTTTGCTCTACCACTTCTCTAGGGTGAAGAGTATTATTTCCTGCTTGAGATGGATGTGGTCTCCCATCAAGTGATGTCCCATTAGGTTACCCCCACCCTCTTTCTAGTGAGTGGCATGCTTCATGGGCTTTCCCTTTCTGACACCTTCAGATATTTTTGGAAAGAAACTAATCTTTGTGATTTCTTTATCTGCACTGGCCCCTCTACTGTCTTTAATGTGGGATTTAAGCCATTTGTTGTGCAGATAAGTGAGTAGCATTTCTAAAGTTGACATTTTCCTTACATGAAGATGTATTTCTGACAGATACTTATCTGTATAATCTCCCACCCTTCCTACCCACTTCCAGTGCATTTAGTTTGCCTTGTAAAGAGTGAGCCTTTGTTAAAATGCTTGGGCTCATACTGCACATAGAGGATGTGTCACCCTCCTATTGATGGAGGACTATAGTCAAATGATGATTGTCATAGTCTGATGCAATACATGTTTACACATGTAGGGACGGGAACTTCATTCAAGGCTTGTAGCATGAGCAAAAAATATTCATGGCAGTGCTTGAGATAATAGCTATTTGTTTCAAAGAGGTGAGTATCTATCTGAAATACTTTTTTCAATAGGGAAAATGATAACTCTAGTGTGTGCAGTTTTCACATAATGTGGTCAAGAAAGTCATTAAGCTGCTTTTGATCTAGTTTATCTTTGTTCTCTTGAAATAACACATGTTCTGCGTGTGTGTGTGGGTGGGGGGGGGGTTGGCTCTAAAGCTACATTTGTTTATGAATGTAGACAGTAGTATTTTCCAGTTGTAGGTCGAATGATACTTTGAGGTTGTAACTTCCACTATGTTTGCTTAAGAATGACCAATTATGTGGATAATGCTAGTTTAGCTGGATAAACTGGACATTACTGAGTTATGTAAGTAATGTCAGATTTGGTCGATCTGGAAGAAATCACATTGTATAAATGAGATGTATAAACATCTCATTTCCAGTAAAAGTGACTGTCCAGCTTCCAAAGGGAATACACACACTGTGTTCTAAGTAATAGAGAGTGTTCATTTTGTATACACTGTGACTATTTCCTTTTAATAAACTCAGTCAGTTTCAGGGAAATTAAGAACTACTCTGTTGTATATATTTTGTTCAAATCTCTCGTTATTCTGCAGACCTACGTTATCACTCTTGGGGGAAATCAGTTGCACACAAGAATATCATACTAACATCTAATTCTTGCTTTATTTGTTGCAGTCTTATATTTCTCTTTTAGCTTTGTAAACAATGTTTTTTACTTTTTTTTTTTAAATGACAAAAACAGGTATAAATAATTTCATTAATGAATCCACAATTTCATATCACAGTTGCAATACATTTTAGGATTATTTTACAATATTTATTTAATCAGCCTAAAGCCACTCTGATGTTGTTATTACTATGGAACTATCATACTTATTCAATGACTAGTCATCATTTTGACTCAGTTGAAATATTTTAAAGACTAGTAACTCTGACATGCCTTGCACTTTACCATAATACAATTTATTTAATACAAATTGGGTATGAAATATGTAACAAAGGAAACAAAATACTTGGAGCTACATTGTACATAAGACACGCTTGCATAAAAAAAAAGAGGAAAAATGCTAAATCAGTATTATTGTTACGACAGCGGAAGTAACGTGACGCTGGTAACACATGATGAGTGTCTAGAAGATTCGCGAAGAGGCTAGCACGTGCTATGCGCGTGCTTTTATTGTATATAAGTATGCCAGATAAAGGAGACATTCATTCGGAACTGGAGTAGCAGATAGATATAATTGCAGACAGGCAGAGACAGACACAGACAATTGAGTCAAGCACGGTAGTAAGTAAAGTGCATGAATCGTTCGTTGTGAATTGTAGCGTGTGTTAAGTAAAAGTGACTGTGGAAATTAAGTGTATTGCAAAGTTGAATTGAGAAAGAATAAACTAGTTTTATTTAAGAAAAACTTGTATCGCTGAAGTTTCTCGTAAAGAATTTCTAAGAAAAATTAACAAACGAACACAGACGTAACATTATCATTCTTTGTGTAAATATTGAGTTCACTATCACGTATTTACTTTTCATCCAAGGTGCTACATTTTTGTGCTCATCCAATTATGTGAACTACAGCTGCTAAATTCTAATAGAATGTTTCAGCTTGATTAATTTTTACTTTTCTATCAATTCATATTTATATTAACTTCAATGAAACAAAACTTAACCAGTTATTACAGTAGTTCTTTTATAAACAGAATGTATACTTTTTAATTTGGGTGTTTTTGTTTGTTTCTCAAAATAAAAATGCTGGAAAATGTTCTATGTTCACAAGCTTATTCTTTTTATGTCATTCTGCTATCAACTGCAAGTAATCATAAATTTTTATAGAACTTTGTGGAGGTAGTTAACTCATAAAATACACATGAACAGAAAAAATTTATTTTTAACTCATCTAGTTGAAAGTATTTACTTAATTTCCATCGTTGCAGTTTTCTTGATCAAGCATTCAGCTCAATGAACAGTGTAACCATGGGCTTTTTAAACTTATTGGATTGACAGTTTCCACAGCATTAATAATTATATTCTGGGTTCAGTTTTAAAGATAAGAATGACAGTTCTTGTACTTAAAAGTATTCATCATTAACTCAGGTATTTTGTTTTCTAAGAGGCAATATTTGTGAGTGTTAGGCACTTGGTTTTTGTAGCTTGAATATTACTGCTTAAATTTAGAAACAGTAAAGTTAACTTATGAAATTCCAAACATTTTAGTGACTGTTGAATGTAGTGTACACATGTAGATGTGTGTTTGGAGAGTTACCAGATTATAAGATATGTATACATGATAGTAGTAATCAGAGAGTTGTTTGAAATCTATAATAATAAAAGGGCATGCCTGTGTGTGTGACTGCCGTAACTCCAAGAGGAAAGAACCTAGAAACCTGAAATTTTGCACACATACTAAGTATACCCTGAGGGTGTGCACCTGGGTATTATTACTTATTCACATGCGTGAGCGCGAACACATCTTTTTGTGAGGCGAGCTAGCAAAAAAACACATAGAAAAGAATGTGACCACCATAGCACCAAGAGCAAAGAACCTAGAAACCTGAAATTTTGCACCCATACTAAGTTGACTCTCAAGGTGTACATCTGGGTATTATTACTTATCTACATGTATGTGCATCTTTTTATGCAAAAAAAACATACAAAAGAAGTGGTTC